TGCATCATATGAACAATCTTATGAAATGCTCGAGCTGCGTGCGCATTGTCAGCCCGCGCTCGAGCTGCGCGTCATTAACGTTTGAAAGACTGGCCCCGCACAACTGAACGAGCAACAATGGATGCGCCATTTCCGGGCAAACATGCGAGGACGAAGGAAGGGAGATGTTGACGGACGGCCTAACACCTGTGAGAGCAGATCTGCAAATGGTGTTCGTCATCGCGACCTCGTCGATTGCGCCTTCACGGAACTCCCGCGAGGAGGAGTGGGAGGAGGAGGACGGGGATAGAGATTGATGTGGAGCTGATGATGATGATGATGATGATGATGATGAGGATGACGACAATGATGATGATGGTGGTGATTTTGACAACGACGAGGATTATGATGATGCTGATGCTAATGCTGATGCTGCTCCTGCTGATGCTGCTGCTGTTGATGACGATGATGACGATGATGCTGCTGCTGATGATGATGCCGATGGTGATGATGGCGATGATGATGATGATGATGATGAGGATGACGATGATTATGATGCTGATGACGATGATGATTATGCTGATGCTGATGCAGCTGCTGATGATGCTGCTGCTGATGATGATGTTGATGTTGATGTTGATGTTGTTGATGATGATGATGATGATGATGATGATGCCGATGCTGATGATGCTGATGCTGATGCTGATGCTGATGCTGCTGATGCTGCTGCTGCTGCTGCTGCTGATGATGATGATGATGATGATGATGATGTGTGGTGGTGGTGGTAGTGATGATACAAATGGTGATGGTGATGGTTATGATGTGATGGTGATGGTGATAATGGTGTAGAGGCTGTCGAGAGGAAGGAGGGTGAAAGGGATCTTGAGGCGAAAGGGCTCTTGAAGTTTGAATTTTTCGGACATGTTCGTTGGTTTTCGGTGGCTTTCCAATCTCGGGATGCCTTCCAGCAGCTGCGCCTCGCCGAGCGCGTCCCGAGGGTGTCCAGATCGTCTCGAACGGCCGCCGGAGGCCAGAGGTATGGCCCGAAAAACATCGGGGACGGAAAACATCGGGCCCGAAAAAGAGGGGGGCGACCAGCGAAAGCGGCCAAGGATGGACCGAGGAGGCAAGGACGCAAAGGAGGGGGAGGAGGAGGAGGAGGAGGAGGAGGAGGAGGAGGAGGAGGAGGAGGAGGAGGAGGAGGAGGAGGGAGAGGAGGAGGAGAGGGAGGAGGTAAGAGGAGGGAGGAGGGGAGGAGGAGGGAGGGAGGAGGAGGAGGAGGAGGAGAAACATCGACCTGGAATCGGCGGTGCACCGCCGACAGATCGGCGACGGGACCCCGAGAGCGGAGCCGCCCGGTCCCGAGCGGGGTGGGCCACCAGGCCCCTGTGGGCGACCACTGGGCGCCTGGGGGTCGCTGCGTCCCCCCCTGAGCTTATTGAAGGGGCCCTGGGGCACACAAATAAATACACACAAGTAAACATATTCCCCACACTTTCCCCTATTTTCTGGGTTTCTGTCTTCCCCCCCACTGCCCATATTTTCCATATTTTCTGGGGAATCGACGATCAATTGTGTCTGTGTGTTTTCTCCCCTCCTGACTTATTGCCTTTTAGCGCTGCTTCCAGGGGAAGGAAGCCGGGAGGGCTCCTGAGCGAGGCGGGGTGCCCTCTGCTTCGGAGTCCCGAAACGGTGCAGTGGCAGACCGTGCGGTGACCTCGCAATCCCCCAAGACCTCACCGCACGGTCCGGCACCGCACGGTCTTGGGACCCCGGAGGCCCCCGTCGCCCGAGACGTCCTCGGAGAACGACCCGAGTCCCCAAAACCGTGCGGTGACCCCGCATCCCCACCGACTCACCACACGGTGTGGTCACTACCCCGTTTGGGGGCCCCGAAGGGGTGCCCTCTTCACAGAGCCCACGCCCCGCTTGTCGCCCTGCCGGAAGCGGGGGGGGGGCGCGCGGCTCTCCAGGCACCACGGCGCGCTACTTTTGCGCGGTGCTGGGTCCCTCGTTTCGAACAAGCAGCGCCCCGCGTCTCCTCCTCTCCGACTACCTACCAGACCACCCCAACCCAACCCGAAGACCCGAATTTGGCCCGAATTTCGGGTTGGGGGGGGGTATGGGTTCCATGTGTTTTTTCAATGTTCTCCGACCCCCCCCCACTGAAAATGGAGGGCAAATTGAAGCCTTCGGGTTGGGTTGGGGTGGTTTGGTGGGTGGTGACTCTCCTCTCCTCTCCTCTCCTGCTCCCCGTCCTCCTGCCGCGGCCCTCCGCATGTCCGTGTCGGCACGCCCTTCACACACTTCGTGGCCCCATGGGGAGCTCCACCGAAGGCCCCAGTGGCATGGTCCACAGGCGGCTCCCTGCTCGCCCCATGCTCTTCTCGGCACACCCGTCATACAGTGGCGGGTCCACATGTGGCTCCCCGCCCGCCGCGTGTCCATGTCGGTGCACCTCTCATTGGTGCACCCCTCATGCGTTTCGTGGGCCCGGGCCCCAGGGCTCCACCTGAAGCTCCAGTTGCAGGCTCCACAAGCGGCCCCCGCGCATTTCGGCACACCCCGCACACGCTTCGTTGCCCCACAGGGAGCTCCACCTGAGGCCACAGTGGTAGGGTTCCACATGCGGCTCACTGCTCATTTCGGCACAACGGTCACACGCTTGGTCGCCCCCCCGGGAGCTCCCCATCCTTCGTCCCACGTGCCTTGTTGCACTCACAATTTCATATGGTTGGGTCCTTAGCCAGGATATTTCGTTTGTTCTGCTTGTTTTCCGATGCGTGGGCCCCTGGACCTCTCGACACCTCCTGAGATCTCAGACGAAACCAGGACCAGGACAAAGCATCGGGCAAGGGCAAGAGGGGGATCTCTGAGATCCGGCGCTTCTCGAGGATGTCTCGGGCGCCACGAGCCTTCCTGGGCGCTCCGGAACGCTCTGAGAGCGTCCTGGAACGCTCAGGAGCGCTTCATCCTGGTTCTGGGTCCGTCCTGGGACCGTCCCCTGGGAGGAGGAGGAGGAGGAGGAGGAGGAGGAGGAGGAGGAGGAGGAGGAGGAGGAGGAGGAGGAGGATGAAGGGGGGAAAGAGGAGGGATGAAGGGAAGATGAGGAGAGGAGGAGGAGGAGGAGGAGGAGGAGGAGAGGAGGAGGGAGCAGGAAAAAGGAGGAGGAGGAGGAGGAGAGGAGGAGAGGAGGAGGAAGGAGGAGAGGAGGAGGAGAGGAGGAGGAGGAGGAAGAGGAGGAGGAGGAGGAGGAGGAGGAGGAGGAGGAGGAGGAGAGGAGGAGGAGGAGGAGGAGGAGGAGGACGTCTCTGGAGCAGGGCCGCTCCAGAGCGCTCCCCGGAGGCCCCTCCCCCCTCCTCCCTCCTCCTCATCCTCCCTCCTCCTCCGCCTCCTCTCCTCTCCCCTCCTCCTCTCCTCCTCCCCTCCTCCTCAGCCTCTCCTCTCCTCCTCCTACTCCCTCCCATCCCCCTCCCTCCCTCCCTCCCTCCCTCCCTCCCTCCCTCCCCTCCTCCCTCCCTCCCTCCCTCCCCTCCATCCCTCCCCCCTCCCTCCCTCCCTCCCTCCCCCCTCCTCCCACCCCCCCGAGCGCTGCCCCAAGGCCAGGGCCCCCCCACCCGACCCGGCCGCCCGAATCTTGCGCCTGCGCGGACAGCTCGGGCCTGAGTTCGAAGCCGGCCAAAGCCCCGGCTCCCGTCGGGCCGGACGAGTCGTCGACCCCTCCTCTCCCTCCTGCCCTCTCATCCTTCCCCGCCTCCTCCTCCTCCTCCTCCTCCTCCTCTCTCCTCCTCCTCCTCACCTCCTCCTCCTCCTCCTCCTCACTCCTTCCTCCTCCACCTCCTCCTCCTCCGCCTCCCCCTCCTCCTCCCCAACTCCTCCTCCCTCCTCCCCCTCCTCCTCCTCATCCTCCTCTCACTACCTCCTCCTCATCCTTCCATCCTCCTCCTCCTCCTCCTCCCAAAAGACTACTTGTATTCCCAGCCGCCCGTTGACCGAGCAGGGGGTGCAGGGGGGCAGGCTCCTCCTCCTCCTTCCTCCTCCTCTTCACTCCTCCTCCTCCTCCTCCTCCTCCTCCTCCTCCTCCTCCTCCTCCTCCTCCTCCTCCTCCCCCTCCCCCCCTCCTCCTCCTCCTCCTCCTCCTCCGCATCTCCCTGCATCCTCCTCCTCCTCCTCCTCCTCCTCCTCCTCCTCCTCCTCCTCCTCCTCCTCCCTCCTCCCCAAAAGACTACTTGTATTCCCAACCGCCCGTTGACCGAAGAGGAGCGCCGGACGAGTCGTCGACTCGTGACGAGTCGACGACTCGCGAGTCACTCGTGTTTCTTCTCAGGCTTCGGCGTTTCCCCGTTCCTGGCCTCCGGGAGCCGCTCTCGAGCCTCAGAGCCGTCAGAAAACGGACCCGGAGTGAAAGGCTACCCTCGGGGAAGACCCCCTGGACGATTCGTCGACAGGGCCTGCAAAAGCTGCATTGACGCGACCGCCAGATAAGAGGGAGCCTGTGCAGACTGTGATGCAGGAGCTTTGTGGGCCCCGGAAACGGCAGGGCCGTTTTTCCACCGTATCCAAAAAAATGTACATTGAAAATGGAAACGGAAAAAAAAACGGCGACCGGAAACGGCAAAAAAACGGCTCCAGGATTGGAACCGGAGCCAGAACCGGTCAAAAAACGGCGACGGAACCGGTAAAAAAACGGCGTCGGAACCGGCAAAAAAACGGCAACACGGAACCAGTAAAAAACGGCCCTGTCGTTTCCAGGGCCCACTAAGTGCAGGAGGTCCTGCGGCCAGGAACTTCTCCATCGCGTGCCGCGGCGGCGGCTCTGGCGACACGCTATATGCCCTACGAGGGGGCAGCGTGTCAGTCCGCTCTGCTGGGCGGGAGGCCGGGAATAGCTCGGGACTGTGTCGCTTGGCTCTGGGGAAAGGGACCGCATGTCGCGCCGAGGCGTGGTGGGCCAGAGCCGGCGGCGCGACACGCGAAGTCAGAGCTCCTGGCCGTAGGCGGAAGCGGGAGCCGATCTCGTGTCACAGCGGGGGGAACTCGCCCTCGCACGCGTCGACTGCGCGGGCCTGGGCCAGGCACCCCGGCGGCTGCCGCGGCGGCGACTGCGCCTCCGCGCACCTCCAGAGGTGGGGGGGCGAGCAGGGGGTGCAGGGCTCCTCCTCCTTCTCCTCCTTCCTCTCCTCCTCCTCCTGCTAAGTCTTGCCCCTCGCCCTCAAAGGTCGGACGTTTTCGGTCGGTTCTTGGACGTTTTCGGGCCTCTGGGAGCCTCTGGGGATCTCCGGGGACCTGCGGGGGTCAGAGTCCAGGGCGGGAGCAACACTTACAACAACTGCGGCACTCGCAACTGAGTATGGCTGGGTCCTTCGCCAGGCTAATTCGCACGTGGCTCTCGCCTCAGCGCCGCGCGCATTCGTCCCGAAAGTGTGCAAGCAGTTTCACAAGTAGTGGAGCACAGGTCGATTTCCATATGTGGCGCTCGCCCTGGCGCCGCGCACATTCGTATGAAACAATTTTGCAAACAATTTCGCGGATGGACCACAGGTCGTGTCGAACTGTGACTCCCGCCCGAGTGCCGCGCGCGCTCGTGTCAGAAGTCTGCAGCAGTTTCGCGGACGGAGCACAAGTCGTTTTCAAACTGTGTCTATCGCCGTAGCGCCACGCACTTTCGTCTAAAAACTTTGCAGCCGTTTCATAATGGAGGGGGGCGTTTTCGAAAAGTGGCCCTCGCCTGGGCGCCGCACATTTTCGTCTTAAACTGTCGCAAACAGTTTCGCGGATGGAGCACGGCTCGTTTTCAAACTGTGGCTCTCGCCTTAGCGCCGCGCACATTCGTCTTGAACGTTTGCAAACGGTTTCAAGGATGGAGCACGCGTCGTTTTGTAAATGTGGCTCTCGCCTCAACGCCGCGCGCATCCGTCTGGAGTGTTTGCAAACCGTTCTACGGATGGAACACACATCGTTTCGAACTGTGATTCTCGCCTGGGTGCCGCGCGCGTCCGTCTTAACATATGCTACCGTTTCACGGACGGAACACACATCGTTTTCAACATGTGGCTCTCGCCTTAACGCTGCGTGCATTCGTCTTAAAAATCTGCAACCGTTTCGAATATGTAGGGGGGCCATCTTCAACATGTGGCGCTCGTCTGAGCGCCGCGCACATTCGTCATAAAAGTTTGCAAATAATTTCAAGGATTGGGCACAAGTCGTTTTCAAACTGTGGCCCTCGTCTTAGTGACTTAGTGCAACGCACATTCGCCTTACAAAATTGCAGCGGTTTCGCGGATGGACCACATATCGTTTCAATTTGTGATTTTCGCGTGAGTGTCGCTCGCATGTGTCTTTGAATGTTGCAACAATTTCGCAACACTTTCAAGGATGGAACGGCCACTTTTGAAACGCTGTTCTCGCTTTGCATTCGTTTTGGGATGTAACGGGGTGGTTCTCCAATGTGTGCTCTCGCCTTCGCAGCGCGCGCATTACTTTGAAAATCTTGCCCTCGCTTCACGGATCAAGGGCAATTCCTTTTCAAATATGTCTCTCGCCTTAGCGCCGAAAGCGTTAATCTTACAATCTTGCGCCACTTCCGAGGGTTGAGCACTGGTCATTCTTAACATGAGGGTACTTTTTCAGCGCCGCACGCATTCGTTTTGTAATGCAACGTTTAGCAGGATAGAGGACTATCCTTTTGCAGCGAAGCGCAACTCTCGCCTGAGACATCGTCAACATTGTAGACGCGCAACTTCATCGCACGTGGCGTTTCGCGGATCCGTGGCGGTTCTTTTTCAAAACCAAGCTGTCGCTGGAGACATCCTCGACTGATTTTTGCCCAAAGTGTAGGCGCGTGCAACAAGTGTGTGAGTTCGGGGCGAAGCAGAACGTAGGGCTTCAAAGTAGCTGGTGCGGGTTGTGGGTGCCCGTTCTGTCTGCTGCCCTCGTCCTCCGCCTCTCTCTTGGGGCCCAGAGGCTTCCTGCACCCGGCGGGCCCCCGTGGGCGGCTCGCGGGGGCCACACGAGGCAGGCGCCGCCCTTGCGAGGGGTCGCCGCCGCCGGGCCAGGGCCGGGCGAGGAGTGTGAGATGACGCTGGCGCTGGCTCGCGCAGACGAAGGCCGCGACGCCAGCCGTGTCGCATGCGTGGGGCGACGAGGAGCCCTTCGGCCTCCCCACGAGATGGCGACAAGGACTCGCTGGGCGATGCGCTGGCGAGTCGGACCTGGAGAGTGCCGCAGAGCTGCCCGCCCTGGCGCAGAGGCAGGGCAGGAGAGCAGACGCGGTCCCCTCGGCAGATCACGGACCGTGGAGCAGCGCACCGCTGCCGCCCGCGGAGATCGAGTCAGACGGCCGAGGTCGGCATGGCGGGGGGCAAAGACGTCCCCCACACCCAAGCCGCCGGCCGAGCCACCAGCGGGCGGCGAGGAGCGCACCGCCCGGCGGCAGCCGCACTGGAAGGCAGCGAGACGGAGGCCTTCTGTGGTGTAGCTGCCGGAAGGATCTGAGGACGAGCCCCGTGGAGGCCGGATCGGGATAAATCGCTCCAGAGCGTTCCGGAGCGCTCTCAGAGCGTTCCGGAACGCTCTGGAGCGGCCGCGGCGCCCATTACATCCTCCAAACCCGCCGACTCTCAGAGATTTCGAGTTATCCCGATCCGATTTTGTCCCGATCTTCGCGTCGTTTTAGTGCAGCTGCCGGGAGGATCTGAGGACGAGCCCCGTGGAGGCCGGCTCACACGGCGGAGGGGGGCGGCGCCGTGCGGAGGCCTGCGGCTGGAGGGCGGGGCGCCCACGGCCGACGACGGCGAGTCCGAGGAGGGTTGGTGGTCCTTCCAGCATGTTCACCTCACGTCTCCTCCTCCTCCTCCTCCTCCTCCTCCTCCTCCTCCTCCTCCTCTCGTGGGCACCTGGATCGGCGGGCTGTTCAGCGACTGCGAGCCCACAGGATGCCAGCAACCCTGGTCAGGAGGAGGAGGAGGAGGCCTGAGCGGAGGAGCGGTGGCCACTGTGGGGAGGGTCGCGTTCGGCGGGTATTGGCCCATGGTGTCTTGGGCCTTGCTGGCATTGCTGGTCGCCATGGTTCTGGTCGGCATGAGCGACGGAGTGTACGCCATCGCCACAGCCCTGGACGTCTTGATTTCGGCGGCGAGCGAAGGGGGAAGTGAGAACGAGAAAAAACCTTCTCAGACGGCGGCGAAACTTCTCAGAAGGCCACCGGCCTTCTGAGAGGTTCTCTGTGCCTTCAGGGAAGGCTTAGACAACTTCTCAAAAGGCCGGGGGACTTCCGAGCCTTCTGAGAAGGCCCGCCCCTTCTCACTTCCCTCTGGGTTCGCCGCCGATCATTGGCAAGCCTCTGAGGCTGGTTCTGTCGCCGTTGCTGTGGGCTCTTGGGCACTGCCCCGTGCGTTGGTCACCGCGCCCCAAAAGAGAGGCGGGAGCTGAGGGAGCGGTGCCCGGGTTGCGTGGTCCAGGTACGGCCAGACCTAGGACAGAAGAACATCCTTCAAGAATGTGAGGCCCTCCGCCAGCCCAAACTGAAGAGCACTCGAGGGTACCCTCCCCCGAGATGCACAAGATCATCCAACAAGCACGGAGAACATTAAGGTACCCTCCCCGAATCGACCTCGATGCTATACCTCGGTCCGACAGTGTCGCTTCCCGCGGACAACCTCTACGCCCAGCTCCGCGCCCAGGACGCGAAGGGTCGGACGCGCCGCTGGGTCGCCAAGGAAAGGCGACACGGCAGCGAATTTGGAGCGCCCAGCTTTCAACTCTGGCATGAAGCCCAAAAGACCGGGGTGCGTGTGGCAATACACGTGGTTCTCGGCTCGACGTCCCGGACGTTGCGAACGCTGCTCGAGGAGTCCCAATATAAGACAGTAAGACAATTCACCTTGTGCCGCGAAGCCACTGTGTTCGGATAGTGGGAACTGCGCCGCACGTCCCGGCTTGCGGCTACATGACTGGGGAGACGGACTCCAACCTGGGGGTCGTGGTCGCGGCACCGCCCCCACCATGTTAGGCAGCACGCTTCGCTTCGCGATGCCTGCCCAGACCTCTGGCGCCGTGAAACAAGCAGTGACGGCTGGCTTTTTCAAGTCCGGGCCTTTGGAAGACCGCTTGGACCCAGGAGCATGGACAAAACAATCCCGGATGAAAAGCTGGTCCTTGTCATGGGGTCGAGAGGTCTGCGGACCAATACCACGAAAGAGTCGTGGCGTCGGATGTCTGGATGGAGGATCTGGGAGGGGAGGGGGGATAGGAGGCGATGGGAGCCCTCCAGAATGCCAGCAACGTTCAATCGCTCCAATCTCGGGCTCCTTGCTTTGTTCGCCTCGTCGCCGCAGTCCTCCCTCCCTGCGAGACCGCTTCCCTTTGTGAGCTGGCTTCAACCTCTGGGACATCGAATAAAACACAGCCCACGACGAGAAACCGGCCTTGGTGATGGCAAAGGGTTGAGGACTCTGGGTCCCACGTGGTGAACACGAGTTCTCGCGAAGGACCCAGCCCTGTGCAACTGCACGTAGCGCAGGGGGGCGACCCGCGGGAGGGAGGGATCGATATGAAAAGTGAAAGGAATCAAGGGCGCGCGATAATTTCAAAAACCGACCCATGGAATACGATCCGTGCGAGGGTACTCCGAATTTAACGAGGGGGCACCACAAAGATGCGACCATTGGGGCCGCAATCGCAACTACACAGGGAGCGCGTTGCATGTCAGGACTGCGGCGAAATGGGCTGGAGTCATTACGCATGGGAGCACGCCCAGTTAGGCGGCAGATGGAGGGGGGGCAAATCGGTGCTGGCTGTGGCAGCAGCAGCAGCAACGGCAGAGCAGCAGCATGCACCATGCAGCAGCGGTGAGACGGAGGGGAGGAACGGAAGGAGGAGAGGGAGGAGGGGGAACGGATGAGGAAGGGAGGCGACGCGCGGCGCAGCGGAGAGAAAACGAGGACCACAATTTCGCAGGAGGGTTGGGAGCATCACCACGTCGGAGGTCTGGAGGGGAGGGAGAGGAGGCATATGACTCTGGGCTCGAAAAACAGAAGATGGATGCTAGACAACACCCCTTTGATACGATGTCCGATCAACTTGGATATGATGCGCCCGTGCACCCAACTCTTCTGATCCTACTTGCTGTTTTCCCGCGCTGAACCGTGCAGAACAACGAATTGCAAATCTACGCAACAAGGAACTCGGCAGGACTGGGTCCTGCTGACTTCAAACTTTGACCTGCACAGCGCCCTGCGCTCGTCGCGATCGCGCAGGTATTATCTGCGCGATGCGGACCTCCTCTCAAAAGTCAGCTTGAATTCTAGAATTCGCCATTGATGACTTCGCCAGGAGAACAGTACAATGACCCCTAGAAAGAACTTGCCAGGGGAACGATACCATGGCCCCTAGAATGAACAATGCGCTCAGAAAGAACAATGCACTTTAGAATGTCGCCAGGAGTGCCGTGCACCGCGGCCTTCAAGGCCAACCTGTCAGACATGTGTTGAAATGTGTTCAAAGAGCACACGTATAGGTTATGTACACAGTGCGAGCGGCATCCGCAGCTCTGCCGCTACTCGAAGGTTCGGCGTACTTAAAAAACGCCTCTCTAAGGGTCAACACGCATGCAAACGACGCTCGCCCGAGCCCAACGGCCGCGTCAGCTGGATCCCGAGCTCCACAGCCGTGCCGAGAACCGGGAAGCAGAAACACGCTTGCGGCGACACGCCGCCGTGGGCCACCCCGTCGGCGTGCTGCTGCTGCTGCTGCTGCCGAGCCAGCGGGCACGTCGGACAACACACGCTGGAGCAGCATGCCGACGGGCTCCCCGCGGCAGCATCTCACTGGCACTGTCTGCACCTCCCGAGCGAAGAGAGAGGCGCCGTGCACGCCATGGCGCGCGAGGGTCGGCAGGTGGTCCCCGCCATTCGATCTGGCAGGCGGGCCCCGCCGGCGCACGCGCGCGCGCGGCGCGGCAGCTACGCGTCGGCATCGCGGCCGAGGGCGAGGCGGCGGGCGTGCTGGGCGATGCTGCGGACGAAGTCCTCGTCCTCGTCGCTCTCGTCGCAGCACGCCCTCCCGAAGTTCGGCAGGGCTGCGAGCACGCCGTCCAGCGCGGGACGACCCCGGCCGCTCTGCCGACGGAGGCCGGCCTCCTTCGGGGGCCGGCAAATTTGGACGCCCGAAATGGGTACCGAAAAAATGGGTACAATGCCCAACAGCAAATGTTGTCCCAAACCAACAGCGGCCGCTGTTGGGCAGGCGGCCTCCTGTCTCGAATGGACACAGGCCGCGGCGGCGTGGACAGCGAGCCCTGTTCAAAATGAGCAGGAACTGCTGTTGGGCATTGTACCCATTCTTTCAATACCCATTTCGTGCGTGCAGAGCAAACCTCCCTTCTGTAAACCTCCGCTTGGTGAAAACGGCCTGGGACCGAAACCGACGGACCTGGGCCCGCAAAAATGACGGCCGCGGCGCCCTCTCGCGAACCGAGAACGGCCCATTCCTGAATCGACGTGTCGGGGTGGGAGGTCTATCGACCTCCGACGCCTCTGGAGGAGCAAAGAGGCATGACCATGAGCTTTGCGAGGCCCCCGAGGATCTGTTCGATCGGCGCTGGGCCACTGGCGGCGTCTCCAGCGCAGCCCCTGGCGCGCTCCGCGCCCCAGGGAGGAGGGGTCCAGCGCCGATGCAGGAGATCTGCGTGGAGCTCCGAACATTCATCATTGTGCGTTTTTTCTTCTTCGGTCCTCGGTCTCGTCCTCGCTCCCAGCCTCGCTGTCCGAAGACACCTGCCAGGAGTGCGGGTCCGTGGTGCTCATCTCGCCCTCGTCGTCCGAGCTCGTTCGCTTGTCTGCTGCCAACGTGTCGAAATCAATGATGGCCTCGGCGCTCAACTTCGTCGCCATGGCACCCTCCAGATGGCTGCGCGCCGGGAACGTTCCAAACATACCCAGGTGCAATGGAAGGATCTCTGCTAGAACCAGAAAGGCTATCTACCGTGGTTCGTCAGAGCAGACATTATCACTAGACGTATCCCGATCCCCATGGTTTCATCATACGATGGAGTCGCCAAGTGTTCTCTCGCTGGCCGAAAACTTACACATATCATCGAATATGACCTCGTGCCGTCAGTGCCCTGCCCCCCTGTGCGAAAATATGACATGATCATGACTTGAATCTTATGACGGCTCAGAAGACGATGGGGAGTCGTTGGTGGCCAAAAATGCTGCACCCCGCAAACGCGTGAACCATCGAAGCTCTATCTCTCTATTCCAATACGGGTTGCGTGAGGGGAAGGAGTCAGGAAGCAGATCCTTGACCCTGGGGCTTTCCCAACCACTGGACGTACACGTCGTTCATTTCTAATCGTGCTCATTTCTAATTGTGCTCGTTTCTAAATGTTCCTGGCCCCCCTAGTCGCCAGGACGAGGCCCAGGATAGAGCAATTGTCGGCCACGTCGGAGTGACATAGGGCCGCTAGCACTCGATCAGTCGAGGATAGAACAATCAGAAACGAAAGGATCTTGGCCCCCCAGAGAATCAAATAACTTTCGAATACGTAGGAATGAACAATGTGTAGTCCTAAGCTCTGCCCACGATCAGGAGGCTCGGGAAGGGCGAGCGCTGTCTTTCGGATCTTGGCGAGTGCAGGCCCTCGGCTTCGCATCTGCCCGGGCCCCATCTTCCCTCGAGGAGCACAGCACGGCACACACATCATCACTCGGAGGTCCGCGCGGACCCCAGAGAAATCATGTGTATGCCACTTTCCGTCGGCGGTGGACACACCTCCCTGTAGTAAACCTCCCCTCAATGAAAACGGCCTGGGACCGAAACCGACGGACCTGGACCCGCAAAAATGACGGCCGCGACGCCCTCTCGCGAAACGAAAACGGCCATTTCGTCAATCGACATGTCAGGGTAGGAGGTCTGTCCACCCCCGATTCTGCTCTTCAATGCATCGAACTTCATCACTGGATGCCAGCACCTCCAGGCGTGCCAAAGGGGAGAAAAGTAGTGTTGCATCCCTGGGGGACCTTGTCTGTCCCATCGCGGCGCTATCCGTGTCGAATGCGCGTCGACGACTACGTCCTGGGCATGTTCCAGGAGAGTGGACGGGCCGCCAGTGTCGTGCGAAGCCGGCGGGCGAGGCAGCACCCCCGAGAGCTACTCCTGGTGAAGCTGGGCCGACCGCTGTACGACCTCGTGGCGCCCTACCGCCTCACCAGCAGACCAGAAGTTCCAAGGAGGGCTTGCCAGCATGGCCAGGCCCTCCTTCGCCGACGACCTCGAGCACGTGCGCGCCACGGCGGGCAGCGCTCGCGGCGGCCCAGGAGCGCGCCTCCGCGGCCGCCTGCGAGGAGTGGGTGGAGCATGCCCTGGCGGGTGGTGCGAGCGCGGGCCACGGGTGCCTCCGCGCCCGCGGCCTCCGGGAGGCCCTCCGGGCGAAGGAGGGTGCGCAACTGTACCAGTACGCGGACGACTGCATGGACACGTGGGGATGACGAGGAGGAGGAGGAAGATGAGGAGGGGGAGGAGGAGAACGAGGAGGAGGACGAGGAGGAGGACGAGGAGGAGGAGGAGGAGGAGGAGGAGGAGGAGGAGGAGGGGAGGAGGAGGAGGAGGAGGAGGAGGAGGAGGAAGGAGGAGGAGGAGGAGGAGGAGGAGGAGGAGGAGGAGGAGGAGGAGGAGGAGGAGGAGGAGGAGGAAGAGGAGGTGGACGAGGAGAAGGACCTCCTGCCGCCGATCCCGGGCCAGGACGTGCGCGACGCCGCCCGCTCGTCCTCGTGGTCCGCGGCATCGGACCAGCTGCCCACTGCGCCCCGCCTGCTGGAGCAGCTCCCGAAGGAGGGCCCGCAGGCCGCGGCGAAGCTGTTCGCGCAAAATGCGAGCTCCTGAGGACGTGGCCGCACGACCGCCTCACGAGCACCCTGCCCTGGTGCACTTGCCGGAAAGAGACGGTGGCCACCGCCCCACCGCGCCGAAGAACACCCTGCTGCGGGTCTGGGGCGGTCGCTGGGCGCACACGCGGAGGGTCAGCGTACCTGGCCACACGAGCGCTGGAACGACACGCGGCCACATGTTCGTCCAGCTCTCGCCCAAGCTGGAACGTTCCAGGTCGTTGTCGCCACAAAACGGATATCTTAAACGTTTCCACTCACCACGACTAAGAATCGTAAGGCTCTATCTTGTTGCCAAAACAACGCACGTCTTCTCACATCATCGACCCGTACGCGTGTTCAACAGCCTCCTCTCGCCCTCCCCTACTCGGTGAAACCTGCTTCCGGTCTTGTGGGCGAGGAGGCTCGGCGGCAAACGTGTGGACTGGTACCTCCCCTTCCCTGTCGTCTCCACGCGCGACTTCTGACATCCGACTCTTCCGTCTGCGTTTTTTTTTTTTTTTTTTTTTCTCTCTCTCTCTCTCTCTTTCGCTCTCTCTCTCTCTGCTCCCCTCACAGAGCGTACCTCTGCGATCTTCAGCTGCTGCGGTCGCGCACGCCAGGACACGATCAATCAGCTGCATGCAGTCTGCTACGCACGGTTCGGCCCAGCGTGGCGCGCAGCCCTCGGCTTGATGAAGTGTTGCCCAACCAATCGCATCTCGGCCTCCCGCTCTTGCCTACCCGAAGCCCCTCACCAGAAGGCCTCCGTGGTCCGAGCTGTTCCCACGGCCGCGCGGGACACGATCAGAGCAAGAGAGCGTGAAGCCTCACGCACGACCTTCACGTACAGTCGGGGCCTTGACCTAAGGAACCCAAAATAAGGAACGAGCCCCCTTTTTTCCACATTTTAAACTTCGATTTCCGATCGAAAACATAATGAAAACCTGAGGCAAGCTGCGAAACACTTAAGGAACGCGGAGCCCCTCCCCAACGAAAAGGGTTCCATCTTCAGGGCCCCGACTGTCCTCGGCAACGCGCGATGGCTCACACGGGCCGCCAGCGCGGCACACCGCGCGGAGAAGGGGGCGCCTGCGCGTGACCTTGCGCGGGAAGCTTGCGCGCCGGTGTCCGCGCAATCGGCATACGGCAAGGACATCATCTTTTCCCAGGAGCGGTCCCGAAGACGCCCGCAGCTCCATCATGCCACGGAAGCAGGGCAATCATCTGCGTATACAGGTCCGGGTGAAACTCGTGGCCCCTCAAGAGCTGTGGCTAGTGGGCATGAACTGATGCAGTGCGCATATTAGTTTCAGCCGCTTCGAGGCCCGTCCGGAGGGTCCCAAAGCCCCAGATCCCGGGAGTCCGGTTTTTTCTTGGGGGGGGTGACGGGTTTTCCCCCCGTCCGGGCTTATAAAAATATAGGAAGAGGAAGATATCTGTGTGCGTATATACATGCAAACTTATGAAGACGTTGTCTGGTGTCTGGGTCGGAGGTGAGCAACCACCCCAGGACCCATCCTGGCGTGTGCTCCGAACCGGATTTCGAAAAGAATCCACCCGTGGCGACAAAAAGTCTCCGAAGGTCCCCGAAACAGAGAAGCATTCCAAAACCTCGAAGCTCCAACCTCGTTGTTCCTCGACCTCGCAGTTCAGAGACTCTCGAGCCCCAGCGGAGCAGCGAAGGCCCCGCTCCCCACCGAATCGTCTCTAGCGCCCACTGCAACTGCGTGGTGCCGGCGTCGCGAAGTACGCGGAAGGCGAGCTGGGGCTTGCCGTCGGCGGCTCCTGGGAATTTCCACAGGACGGCTCCCTTATCCTCCTCCGTTCTGCTCTTCCTTCTCTTCCTCTTCCCCCTCCGCGTCCTCCATCCCCCTTCCTTCTAAATACTCCTCCTCGTCGTGCCATCAGACGTGTCGGGGAGGGGGGCGGGCCAGGCGACTTCCCCACCATTCATGACCCTGCGGCTGGAAATTTGCAACAACTTCACGACTGGAGGGGGGTTGTTTTCAAACAGTGGCTCTTGTTGTAGCGCCGTGCGCATTCGTTTCAAAAAGGTCACAGTTGTTTCGCGGATAGAAAGGGGGTGGTTTGCGAAATGTGGGTCTCGCCTTAGCCTGTTAGCCTGGAATCAAGCATGGATCAGAATGTGGGTTTCACCATCTATGATATCGAGCCTGAGGTTTTTCCAACATGTACACGGATGGAGGGCGGTCCGTTTTCATGATGTGGTTCTCGTCTTGGCGTCGCGCACACTCGTCTGAAAACTTCCCAAATCCGCCGACCCAGTTGGCGTGTGTGAGGGGCTTCTCCGTTCGACTCGTCGTCTCCGTCGTCTCCGTTCTCCCCCTCCCAGGGCTCTCCTCCTCAAGCGCGCTATCCAAAGCGAAATCAAACAACGTCGCAGTGGAGTCGAACGGAAACCCCTTCCCTTGGATCCCTTCCCCGCAGGGGGGGGGGGGGCGGGGCAGATGCGACGCCTGCCGGGGCGCACTTTCCTCGAGCGGGCACGCACGGGATGCATTTCCTCCTCCTCCTGGTCCTCCTCCTCTTCCTCCTCCTCCTCCTCCTCCTCCTGCTCCTGTCCTCCTTCTCCTCCTCCTCCTCCTCCTCCTCCTCCTCCTACTCCCGCAGGGGCGTCCCGGGAGCGGGCCCCAAGTCAAAATACCACCCCCGTAGGGCGCATTTTCCTCGAGCGGGCACGCCCGAGATGCACTTCTTCCTCTTCCGGGAGCACGTCCCAAGTCAGAATATCACACTCCCGGGCGCACTTTCTTCGAGCGGGCACACAAAGGATGCACTTCCTCCTCCTCCTCCTCCTCCTCTTCCTCCTCCTCCTCCTCCTCCTTCTCCTCCTCCTCCTCCTCCTGCTCCTCCTCCTCCTCCTCACACACACACACTTCCTCCGCCTACCCTGTCACGTTGTCCTTTAGCTCCTTCCTGTGATCACACATCCCGTCGCCATCGACGGCCAAAACCTTCAGGGTCGGCGGCACCGGCCGCAAGGCCTTCACAATCTACAAAGACGGAGGGTGTACCGTTTACAATATTTGGATCTCGCTTTAGCGCCGAGCGCATTCGTCTTGAATTCCTACAACTACCCCACTGTAAGGCGGTAGCTTTTCAACATGGGCGCCCCTCGTTTTCATCTGAAAAGTTGGTTGCACCTGTGCGGGCAGAGAGAAGTTAAATATTATACTTGGGATATCGCCTTAGCGCCGCGCACATTCGTCTGAAATGCTTGGAGCAATTCCAAGAACAGTGGGATATTCCTTGACAAACTGGGCTATCGCTTGAGCTTCTGGGCTCGCAATCAGAGGTTCGAAACTCAAACATGTGCATCAATTGCACGGGTGGTGATTGGATCCGTTTCAAAGACTCAAACAGGGGCTCTTGCTTGATATTTTCTCACGTTTGTAGCCAACGAATCAGAAGTGTGCAACCGCTACGCGTATGGAGGGCGGTTTCGTTTCACGGCTGGACTTTTGCTGAACACTTCTTTGGACTTTATAGCTACCTGCTGCACTTCTTCCTGCCAGAAGTATGGCACTACCTGCTGTATTTCTCCCAGCAAGAAGGATGGAGGACGATCCTCTTCAAATCGGGACTCAAAGACGACCCCTATGGGCATCAGGGGGCGTTAGTAATTCAAAATGGAGCTTCCCATCGTGAAAAGGAACCCTGTAGGGACCCATGACGAAAGGACTTGGGGTGGGAAGGTAACTTGCAGCACCGCTGATGCACCCTGGGTTTGCCCTGGTTCTTCCTCCTCGTCCTCTTCCCCCTCTGCGGGAGGGGGAGAGGAGGAGGGACGTGGGGTTTTCAGGTCGAGGGCTCGAGGTTTCTGGGCGTCTCTGGTTCTTTCAAGGCCTCCCAGGGCGACCTCGTGGCCTCGGCCGGATTCGCGTCTGGCCAGACCGCACCTCCCGTCGGAGGCTGTCGGCCGAGGTGCCCCGGCTCCACTGCTGGAGCCCCTGGGGCCTTCTGGGCGTCCTGGGGGTTCCAACACGGGGTGTAGTGACAGATCGCGCGGTGGCCTCGGAGTCCCCAACGACCCCACCGCACGGTCCGTCACCGCACGGTTTTGGGACCCTGGGGTCTCCAGTCGCACGCGACGTCCTCGGAGAGCGACCCGAGTCCCAAACCTTTCACTTGGCCCCGAATCCTCACTGACTCACCACACGGTGTGGTCGCCGCACCGCTTGGAGGTCGCCGAGCTTCGTGAGGGGTGCTATCTGGGCCTCTCTGGAACAGCTGGGGCCACCTTGGGCCAAGGCCACCACTTGCAACATCCGATCCTGGAAGGCTCCGCGGAAGACGGCAATGAGGGTTCGCAGCTCCCCGACGTGTCAGGAATATAGAAATCGAATGTCTGTTCGCCGTTTTCGGGGCCCACAAGCCGTTTCTGGGCCAAGCGGCCATCGAACATTGATCCGGGGTGGAGAACCAGTCTTCGGGACGAAGTCGCAAGGTCGGGGGGGGCACGTGTTGACATAACGACGTTGGAGGTCAGGCTTCCTCGGCACTTTCTATAGATGGTCTTTGCGGGTATGTCTGGGGGCGTACCAAACCATATTTTATCAAGTTGCCGAGCCGAGCGCCCCACGTTCACCCTTAGTGGACTGGATTGCGCTGGATCAAGCAGTACCAATCTGGACGAAGCCACGTTACTTCAGACTGAGCTGGACTAGTGAGGAGGAGAAACCAGGGCGGACAACTGGAACCTAGATCCCAGCACCAAGATTTACCGCCGATGGACGGTGCTCAGAACGAAGAGGAGGCTACTCTACGAAAGAAGCAGACCTTTCAACATCATGCGTCTCAGGGAGGAGACAGGGAGAGGCAAAAAGGCTTACATGCACCACCACTCGTCATCCCTCGCCACCCTGGCCGCCGCCCCTCCTGGTTCGTCCTCCCTTCCCGCTCGCTCCGTTCTGGGTCCGCACCGACTGTGACAGCCGTGCTGCTGCGCACGTGGCTGCCGACGTAACACATGCCCCCACGGGAAGTCAGCGACCGAGCACCGACGCCCGCACGACGGCTCCCTGGGGCGGTCGGCTCGGGGCGAGCTGCAGGGAGCCGCTCCCCTGCAACCGCTCGCTTAGACTCTGCAGTGCGCGAAGCAATGCTGTTTGCAGGCACGGGCTGAAAGCGCCAACATATTTACCAGCCTCGAACGCATCCCTATGCCGAAGATTGACACGCCAAAAGGCGATGACAATCTTAGGGATTCGCCCTCAAAAAATAAGGGAATTCCTAATATTGGCATCGTGATGGGGAGGTGCCCAGCATAGGGATAGGGATATGTTCCAGGCTGGTAACATATGTCGTCCCCTGGCGCAGCACGAGTGGCGCAAGCGAGGCACACCAAAAGCAGCACGGAGTCACCGTTCTGCCGGACCCAGAGTGCGAGCAACATCAGACAGGATGTGCCTCTACGTCCTCTTGACGCTGGACGCGCAACCCTCAGAGACGGGGTGCCGCCAGAACCACCCCGAACATCAGATCGTGGTGCGCGACGACCGTGCGAGGAAACGGGAATTCAATTGTTGAGAGATGAAAAAATTGACCCTACCCTGGGTTACAAGTGCGTGGTCTGTAAACCTCCTGGGAACCCCCAAAGTCTAGAGCCGACAGGACGCGGCACATCACGCAGGGTTTACCCTGTCAGCCCACAGGAGTTTCAGCGCACAGCGCCTCGTAAACCAGGGTAGGGGCGTTTTTGATGCCCTTGAATTTGGACAACAAAAGACATCCCCACCCCCACCGACCTTCTCCCTCCGCAGGTGGTGATGAGCGCCGTCTCCTTCGGGCCTCGCGGCGTCCACCCACTCGCTCGGAAGGGGCACGCCGGAGAACCAACCTGCCCTGCTCCAGTGGGGGTGGGGGCCCAAACTTGCGCTGTCCGGACTTTTTCGATACGCGGCCCCCGGAAGTCCCGATCCTTCCCGCGGGGCCGGTTTTTTTTCATCGTGAATCGTCTTTGGTCGGTCCCGGGGCCCCGCGAGGGCGCCCGAGGCTGGAAAAACGGCCAGACATCTCCCGCCGTGCCTTCGACGGCGCGAGCAAACAGGTGCAACTGAAGGGGCCCCAGGACACACAAATAAATACACACAAATAAAAATATTCCCCATATTTTCTATATTTTCTGGGCTTCTGTCTTCCCCCCACTTCCCATATTTTCCCATATTTTCTGGGGAATCGAGGATTAATTGTGTCTGTGTGTTTCTTTTTCTTCCTGAGCAACGTCGTGAAACATCTCGACCGGAGCTCCGGACCCCGTCTTCCTGCGGCACTTTTCGGCCTGGGCCGATCTGTGACGGTCCGCCCGAAGCCGAGCGACAAGACGCTCGGCGCGGAGAAGTTGCAACGCCTGGCCGGATCTGAGGGTGACCTGCCCTGCCCCGGCAGGGGTGGGGATGACCTTCGTGCCAGGCTGCCAGCCGGACGGAACGAGCGAGGGCGGGCGCGGGCACGGCAGGCGCCTGACACCTCGGGGGCCGGTCGAGCGGGAAAAAACACACGTGGGAAAAAATACTGTGAGACAAAAACGCACACAGTGTGAAAAAAACACACGTTTTTTTCCCACAGTGTTTTTTCCCACAGTGTGTGTGTGTGTGTTTTTCCCACAGTGTGTGTTTTTTCCCCACAGTGTGTGTTTTTTCCCACGAACGATCGGGGCCCTTGCAAGAAAGCCGGCTCGTTCGAGGATGGGCCGATTCTGGGCCACGGGCGGCGCTCTTAACCTTGCACGCCCGCGCTGGGGTCGCCGCCGGTCGACGCGGCGCGGACCTGCCGCAGCCTCGGGGCTCCCCTCAGAGGCCGGGTGCCGTGACGAGCACCGCGGGCACGAGGCCGTGGTGCGCGCCGGCCGTGCGAGGAAGCAGCTTCCTCCATCCTGCGTCCTCCCTCCTGCCCTTCCCCTCCGCCACTCCCCCTCCATGCTCCCCTCCATCCTCCCTCCTCCTTCCCCTCCTCCCCCATCCTCCTCCCCCCTCCCTCCTCCTTCCCCTCCTCCCCCCTCCATCCTACGTCCCCCTCCCCCTCTTCCATTCCGTATCCTTGTGAGTAACTCCTCCCTGTCGCACCCCGATGTCATGCGGAAGGGCAGGCCGGGCGTTTCGCATGAGACTCCTGTGCCATCTATGAGCCTCAAGCTTAAAAAGCTGGCAACACTTGCGCAGATGGAGGACGGGTGGTTTTCAACATGTGGCTCTCGCCGTACAATCAAAAACCCTAAGAAGGACGCGCGGTAAGGACGCAAGACCCTTGGAAGCCGAAGTTGGGATTTTTGGGGCGGCGGACGACGAAACCCTCAAGGACGCAAGAGCAAGGAAGAGCAAGGACTCAAGGGTACCCTGAGCAAAGTCGCGCGTCCTCATTAGGGTTTTTGACTGTAGCGCCATGCCCATCCGTTCTAAACCATGGCAAGAGTTTCATGGATTGAGGACAGGTCGTTTTCAAAATGTTGCCCTCGCCCGAGCGCCACGCGCACACTTTTTTCAAACATTTTCAAGGGCTTCACGGATTGATGTCGAATCCTTTCAAACTGTGGCTCTCGCCGTAGCGCCGCGCACAGTCGCTTCAAACGTATGCAGTAATTTCACTGGTTCTCATGGTTGAAGTGCCAGTATTTTTGGCAGGATTCAGGAATGTTGGGGCGCAGCGGTTACGTTGATTCGCGGTGTTGAAGTCCTAGGAATGGTGCTTTGGCAGAGTTGAGGATCGTCAAGACGCAAAAATCAGGTTGACTCGTAGCGTTGAAATCCTGAGAATGGTGCTTTGGTACGCATCAGGATTTTCACACGGTTGTCCCCCCAACGGGGCACTTCCGTAGGGGCCACGAGGGAACTTGGAGGGAGGGCGCATTCCGACATCGTTGATGACTTCTTGGGTTGATACTGGTCCTCCTCCCTCTACTCCTCCTCCCTTCCTCCCCGCACTCCTCCTCCTTCCCCTCCTCCTCCTCTTCCTCCTCCTCCTCCTCCCCCTCCTCCTCCTCCTCCTCCCCCTCCTCCTCCTCCTCCTCCTCCTCCTCCTCCTCCTCCTCCTCCTCCTCCTCCTCCTCCTCCTCCTCCCGCGCTAACGAGGGGTGCCAGATTGCCAGCTGGACGGAGCGAGCGGCGGGCGCGGGCAGCGCCCGGCGCGGCGAGGCGAGGGGCGGAAGGGGGGGGGCCGAGAGGGCGGGCGGCGCTGGGCAGCAGCAGACGCCCCCAGCGTTAAGTCGGGCCTGTCCCTCTACAGGAGGAATACTCGGAAACAGTCAAAACATCATAATGGACGACTTTTTGACGTTTTTTTTGTTGGTTGGTTTTTCCATTTTCGAAGTATTTTAAATTTTTCGTTCAAGATCCCCCTGTAGGGGGACACGCCCGACTTAACCCTGGTGGCCCCCCCCTCTTGAAGCACCAGGTTGTGGCCACAGGGGCATCTGGCCAGGATGGTGCAACCCTCTCCCCGTCGCACAACAGCACCCACGTCCTTCGCACGTGCTGTCGTAGAAGCTGATCTCGGACTTGTTGAGCAACACGAACGTCTCGTACCTTCGCGGGGCACAAACACACCCGCGACACATATTCAATACAACTTAGTACGTGCCATGTTCAAGTGTTTCTTCGACGGTCCCACTACTCTCGCCTCCCCGTGCACCATCTCAAGTTGCTGCCTCCACGTATGACCATCGTCTTTCGGGATAGCATGACGCTTCCGAGTGTCATAGCTTTTGCGGCAAATACCGTGGTTAAGACCATGGCAGCTGAGAGGACGTCCGTCGCTGCAGAACACTACCCCTACTCATACAATCACCCCCAACACCCACCAATACCACCGCCACCGTCATCATCACTACCAGCGGAGAAGAACAAGCTGGCCGACTGACTTGTGAGGAGAGGGCTCGGGACGGGAGCTCTGGTCCTCCTCGTCCTCCACACCCTCGAATCGTTTCGTTTCATATTGCGCCACCTCCTCCTTCTCCTCCTCCTCCTCCTCCTCCTCGTCCTTCTCCTCCTCCTCCTCCTCCTCCTCCTCCTCCTCCTCCTCCTCCCCCCTCCTCCTCCTCCTTGCCCTAACGGCACCGCGCAAGAAAGGCCAGTGGGGGGCGGGGCGGCCTCGTAAGAAGGCGGGGAGTTCACAGCAGGGATCGGCCCCTCAAAAGCCACGCGACCCACGCCTTCCAAGAGGCAAGGGACGGGCCTTCCCCAAGGCCGCCCGCTCTCGTCCTGCACCCTTTTGTGCGCCGCCAGCTCGAATCTTCCTCCTCCCTTCCCTCACGACTGCTTCTCGCAAGCGATTTCCCCGCCAATCCCCGAGTTCCGCCCGAAAAGTTTGGCCGCTCAGAAAGGGGAAACCCTGGGATACACCCCAAGGGTGCCACTCGGACGCACCCCTGTCGAGGATGGGCGTCCCCCTGTTCTGTATCCCAGGGCTGGGCACGAAGTTTCTGGCCCAGTCGAACACTCCACGCAGCACCTGGGATGGGAGTCGACATATCGCCCGTGATCTTTGAGACGTGGGCCCCCAAACCTCTTTCGACCCAATCTTTCGGACCCGTGGGCAGAGGACTGCCAGTTGCTGGTGAGCGGCCTTTCCACCCGTCACGCGTTCCGAACACATGCGACCAACTAAACGCACTTGCCACGCAAACCGCCAGCTCCAAACACCGACGCCACCCCGATCTCCGCATCCGTGCCAGGCACCCTCTCAACGACGCCCCCCCTTCCAGCGTAAAACCAATCAAAACCCTTTGTGTTTATGCGTTTTTTCCCGTTCTGAAATCTTTGGGGCCCGTCACTCCTCGCCCACAGCTGGCATTCCGATGGTCCCGGGGCCGCGGCGCGGGCCTGCGGAGGCCGAGAGCGTGGCCAAGCCTGGCCGTCTCGGCCCGGCGGGAGGGCAATGAAAGGGGCCCAGGTAAGCAGACGCGAATCCCACGACCCCCCCCATATCTTACCACATGTTCTGGACTTTCGTCTTCCCCTCCGCTGCCCATGTCTCCCATGTTTCCCTGGGAATCGGCGATCGGTGTGCTCGCGCTTTATGTCCCTCCTGAGGCAAGGGGGCCTGAGGAAAGTGGCTCCTGACCCCACGGGCTTTCTTCTGCACCAGCCTTTTCTCCAAGGTCGTTCTCTCACAGCCCCTGGCCCGGGCGGGTCCTGGGGGGTCGAGTTCAGCGGAGAGTCTCGGGACCCCTTTCTGCTAAGCTTTGCCCCCGGCCCTCCTCGAGGATCGAGGAGGGATTTCGAACATTTCTTGTTGTTGTCGTCGTCGTTGCTGTTGCTGTTGCTGTTGCTGTTGTTGTTGCTGTTGCTGTTAATGCTGTTGCTGTTGATGCTGTTGCTGTTGTTGCGGCTGCTGCTGCTGCTGCTGCTGCTGCTGCTGCTGCTTGTGTCCCTGGGTCCGTACAAGGCGTTCCTTTGCATGCACATCGTCTTCGGCACCGCCTGATTCCGGGGCTTTGCCCCCTCCTGGCCTTGACGTGAGGCCCCTCCTTCTGCCTTCCCCCCTCTGTCAATTAAAGCTGTGCGCGGCCCGCTTAGCTTCGACCGGACGAGGTTCGCTCTCGCCCCGCAGATTCAAAAAAAAGTGTCCCTGGGTCCCTCCCCTCCTCCCCTCCCCTCGTCTGGCGCGGCTGCCTTTCCCGTGAAAGTGCGCGTGCCTGTGCAGCATGGGCCGTCGCCCCCCAGTGCGCCGCGGCCCGCCCTGCGCCTCCTCTCTCCGCGGCGGGCGGGGGGCCGCGGCGGCGCCCGGGCCAGCTCGCCCGAAGGGCCGCCTTCGCGCGCTCGTCTTCGCGTCTTGATTTTCGTGCACTGGCGCGTAAGTGCGTTGTACATAGGGGAACGAAAATGACATAAACATAAAGACTCGGAGGTCCGCGCGGATTTCTCGGATCGGCGCTGGGCCCCCCTCCCTGGCGCGCTCCGCGCGCCAGGGGCGGCGCCGGAGCCGCCGCCGGGGGGCCCCAGCGCCGATCCGAGAAATCCGCGCGGACCTCCGAGTTTTTATGTTTATGTCACTTTCGTTCCCCTATGTACAGCATGGGCCATCCCCAGTGGTGCGTGGAGCCCGCCTTCTGCCTCCACTCCGCGGCTGCGGGGCCGTGGCTTGTGGGCCAGCTCGCCCGAAGGATTCCCCCCTTGCACGTTTTTTTGTTCTTGTCGCATGCCCTGCCCTCGTGTCGGACCACGCGCTGGCCGACCCTCCGCGCTCGCGTCTCTGGTGTGGCGCTGGCGGGCTGCGTCCTCCAATTGCGGTGCGTTGCGCGTCGGATCTTTTTTCCATTCCCTCCCTCCTTCCCCCCTCTTCCTCCTTCACCCCTCCCTCCAATGTAAATACAGCTCAGCGGCCAAGCTACCCCTCAGAACGCCGCTGGTGCCTGTGGTGTTGGCGAAGATCCTTCGCCGGGTCTTGCGTGCCGGCCCGCTCCGAGGGCTCGCCTCTGCACTCGCCGAGTGCACTTTGTTTCGGCACTGTTGTGGCGTTCGACCTTTTGCCCCGGCGATGCTCGCATTGGCTGCAGTCGCTGTCAGTCATGGAGGTGGGCCTTGGGCGGTTCCAGCTCTGGCAGTCTCCAGTTGTTCCGAGGTTTGTCTACTCTTCGGCTTCTGTCTCAATCACAGCATTTTGCAGAGTATCTCTCCTTCGCGCGCTGTGTCTTTGGACAACGCGATGTCCCGATCAATCTTAGGGTCTTGCCGCTTCGGTCGACCGTCTTGTCACACATCGAAATATGTGTTTCTGAAAGAAATTGGACGCTCTCTGACGGCTAGTGACGTTTTCGGCCCTCTTCGGGCCTCTGGGGACCTCCGGGGACCTCTGGGGGTCAGGATCCGGGGCGGGAGCAAGACTTACCACCCCTTTCTCAGGACTCTCTCTCCTAACGGTGAGTGAGTGGCGCCGCAGGCCAAGGCCCTTCCTCCCTGATCCCTCCCCGTGCGTTTTCCACGGCTGACCTGCACCCCCGCGGCCTGCCGGTGGCGTTGCGGCCACTCCCCGAGATCCGAAGGCGCGAAAAAATACAACATCGTGAAACATCACGAGGGGAGCCCTGGGCCCCATCTGTCTCCGGCATTTTTGGAGTTGGATCGATCTGTGAGAGCCCCGGGGAGCGAAAGCGCCCGGTGCGAAACATCGAGACGCCAGGATCTCAAGGGCCGTTCGGACGTGGTCGCCAACGCGACTGCGCAGATGGAGCCTCCTGGTCAGGCGCCGCCCGGCTGGATGCGCCCGAGCAACGGCTCACGCAGGGCGCCTTCGGGCGCGTGGCCGCCAGCCGCGGTGAGGGCGTGCTCGGCAATGGTCGGTAGCCTGCTCGGCTGCGCGCAGGGCCCAGGCCTCTTCGCGTCGTGAACACGAGGCGCGACAGGAGGTGTTTCCCTCCTTTCGGCCTCTGGGGGCACTCACTGGGCCTTGGGTAGAGGAAAGAGAACAACTGTGCACAGACACAGATTCTGGCCAGGCCCATCCTGAGCCCAGGATCGGTGCATACGCCCCTATACCTTGGCCAGGAAGGTATCTGCACCGATCCTGGGTCAAGGATGGGCCTTGTCAGGATCGGTGCATGTGCATAGTTCTCTTCGCCCGATTGGGGCAGTCGACAAGAATTCAAAATGGAAAGCCGTCGCCGTGGAAGGGGGCCCAGTCCCTTGGGGGCCCACGTTGCGATGAGGGCAATGGATAAAATGGAACCACTGGATAGGGAATCCATGGTCTGGAAGCTGGTGGATAAAGCATCCTAGATAGTCTGAGGCCTCAGCGCACAGTCCTTAACGAACGCCCCCAATGTATGAGAAAGTCAAGACGTCGTGGGCCTGGGGAGTGGTTTTAAGCAAGGGCGACCTTTGGAGCGCGGCTTTCGATGGGCGCGGGGGGGGCACACTGTCAGCTTGTGATTGACAAAAACACGCGGGGCGTGCGACTCAACAAAACTGGTTGCTTGCTCGGGCGAATCGCGGGGGGGGGGGGGGGGCGCCCGCCAAATGGAAACGCACGGCGGCGGCGCTTGTGAATAGGTGAATAGCGCCGGCACCCGGAAAACAGCAGGAGGGACGCAGGCGGCACCGCCTCAGCGGAGGGGGACAGCAGCGCCTCCGCTATAGCGGGGCGGCTGGGCCAATCTGGCTACAGACAGAAAAGCAAGTAGGGACGGGGGAATGAGGCGCCTCAGCTGGCGGGCGGTGCCAGCATGGCTACAAACAAGAAAGGAAGAGCTGGGGAGGAACGGCAAAGGTAGGCGGAAAAATGCTCCCTTCTTTTCTCCGCCATCACCCCCTCCCCAATACAATGTCCTGCGACGACGACGGTGGCGACGGCGGACGACGACGCACTGCGGATGCTCCATGGGGATGGGGGGGCGGGGGAGCTGCGTAGGCCCGCTGCAGTTGTCGACGACGACGACGACGGACGACGACGACAACGACGACGCGGATACCTCAGAAAGGAAGCGCTGCGCTGCGAGTCTCGCTGCAGTCGACGACGACGTCGGCGGCGACGGCGACGCTGATGACGACGCGACGACGACGACGAAAACGAGGACGACAACGACGACAACGACGAACGCCGAAGACGACGACAACAAGAACGCGACGACCACGACGACGGCGACGACGACGACGACGCTCTGCGGATGCCCCCATGGCCCATGGGGGGGGTGCTGCATAGGTCCGCTGTAGTCGACGACGGCGACGACGACGACGACGGCAACGCGACGACGACGGCGACGACGACAACGCGACGACGACGGCGTCGACGACGACGCGCTGTGGATGCCCCATAGCCCATGGGGGGTGTGCTCCGTAGGCCCGCTGTAGTTGACGACGACGACGACGACGACGGCGACGACGACGACGACGACAACGACGACGATTGTGGCAGGTCAGTATCAGCCTGAAAGGGGGAGTCTTCGCCTTGGATCTATACGGTCCCTATAACAACTTTTTTACGAAAGGAAATCGTTGTGAGGTTGCCGTGCAAGGGGGTAATACATGATCCCTTCGGCGGCGCCCGCGACGTTCCCCTGGCGCAGGTGACGCAACCAAATGTTTCGCGCCCCGCGGGGTCTATTCATCAGCCTCGGGGGGGATACTTTGTTAATCGCAAGCTGGCATTGCCGAAGCGCGCAGGCCCGCTGCTGTCGCAGCGCATCCGGCGATCGCTGGGCCTTGGTGGCCTGCGCCACAAGTCACCCTTGCGAAGGGCCCCCCTTGCGCGCAGCCCACCTGCTCTTGGAGCTGGTCTTGCCGCTCCTCCAGGCCGGCGTCAGGGGGCTGCGGGGCTCGGCGTCCGAGCAGGAAATCGCCTCGTCGCCGAGGCGCATCGCGGAGGCCCCGCCAGCCGACGTCGCCACCGACGCCTCCGACATGGGCAGCCAGCTGTCCTCAGACACCTTGCGCTCGAAGGCCGTCTCGGCAGCCTCTGGCAGTCTCGGGCTCCGCAGGCCAGGCCCTCGCCGCTGGTGCGCCGCGGTCAAGCTCAGCTGCTCGACCTGCTGCCGTGTGCGCCGCAACCCCAGCCAGAAGAGCATTGCCCAGACGAGGTAGGCGTGCGCGGGCGCGTCGCCCCTCACCAGCAAGGACACCGAGCACGCCACAGAGGCACACCCGACCGGGTCGCCGCCGCGCCAGGACGCCGCTGCCTCCGCCAGGACTCGCAGCGGCGCGCAGACCAGCAGGCTGCCCGACAGAAGCCCCGCCACGCCGGCGAAAGTGTGCCGGGACCTCGGCGGCCCCAGCACGCCCTGCAGAGCGGCCAGGCCCGCGGCCGCGGCCACGCAGCCCTGGAGCGGCAACGCCCCCACCAGCCGCCATGGGAGCCCAGGGCCGCCGCTCAACTCGCGGCGCAGGGCGCGCGCCCAGGCGCCGTCGCTGCGCGCTCGCTCCGCCTCGCGCTGCGCGCTCGCCAGGTCTGCCTGCGCACGCTGCAGCTGGTCGCGCTCCGCCGCGGCCTCCCCCTCGGCCTCCTTGAGCGACTCTCTGCGCCGCTGCAGCTGCGCCTCCAGCCGCTCGCGCTCGGCCTCGAGCTCCCCCCTCGGCTCTGGCACCCTGCGAGTGGTGGAGGGGCCAGCTGGGGCTGGCGCTGCCAGCGTGGGCGAGGGTGCCCCTGCGTCTGGCGCTGCTGGGGCTGCCGGCCTGCTTGAGCTGTCAGTGCTGGCGCGGGCTGGTGCTGGCGCTGCCGGGCTCGGCGCACGGGGCCCTTCGGGTGGGAGGCTGGGTGCGAGCAGGACGGCGAGCAGGGCAAGGGCGGCCAGCGTGGCCAACGAGCCCAGGACCAGCCACGGCCTCGGGCACGGGCCGCGCCGCGCAGCCGCGGTGCGCGCCGGCTTCAGGCTCGGGGCCTCAGGCCAGTTGCAGGCCACCGCTGGCCCGGCGGAGGCATCGCTTGCCCACTTCTCGCCGCGGTCGCCGCCAGCCTGCCGCTCGGGCTGCTCGCCAGGGCGGCAGCGTGAGGGCGGCGGCGGCGGCGGCGTGTGTTCGGTCAAAGACCTCCGCGGGCTGTCGGGCAGCCAGCTTGGGCTACCGCGCCCGCCCGCGGCGTCACCAACTGTGCCTCTGCCCGCGGTGCTCGGCGCAGTCGGCCCCTGGAGCGGAGTGGTGTCAAGGGCGTGCTCCACACCGGCGGCCGAGGACACTAACAGCGGCGCCGCCAGCGTAGTCGGTGGAGGCGCGCGGAGGGGCACGATCGCCTCGTCCTCGAGCCGGGCGAGTATGCGGCCCGAGTCCCGGGGCAGCCACTCGTCGCCGTCCGCTCGGAAGCCGTCGTAGTGGATCTTGACGGTGTGGGCGTGGGCGTCTATCACCGAACACTCGCGCCGAACGCCCGCCGGGCTGGCCACCACGAGCTTGTCGCCGATGCAGAAGTCCGGCTGCTCAAGCTGAACGCAGATGCGATCGGAATTCCTTGGAAGCCATTCGTCGACCTCTCCGTGTTGCACCTTCACGCTATCCCCGCCTTCCTCTACGACGGTGCAGCCCCGCCGCGTCCCCAGGGGGCTCACGATGTTGAGGTGCTGGCCCACATTGCGCTCCACTTCCGATGCGGCAGAAAACCGCGCGTGGAAGGGGACCACGGAATCCGCCTCGAACTGAGCAACAATGCGCTCCGACTCTGACGAGAGCCACTCGTCATAGCTGTCGTCAAAATCGTCGTAGTGTATCTTCAACATAACTGTCAGCATGTCCTTGACTGTGCACTCCCGTCGGATTCCCGAGGGGCTGACCACCAGGAGCTTCTGCCCAACCACCAGCTCTAAGCGTTCGGGCCTGACTCCTATGCGTTGACAGTCCGTGCCGATCAGCTCATCGGTGCTCGGGTCGGACCCCTCCTCGTGGACTATCACCCTGCTGTCCTCCCCGGACTTCCGGCGTCGTGCTTTTTTCACGACGTGGGCCCCGCCCCCCTCCCAGAGCTCCCGACCCCGTCCTTGGGAGCAGCCTCTCGTCGCGGGCCAGGCCCTGATGCCCTTGGCGCCCGAAGGCGGCCCTGGGAGGCGCAGGCTGTGCGAAGGCGCGCCCAGGCGTGACTCTCTCGCGACGCTCGGAAGCCTCGGTGGCCTCGCCTTGACGGCCCCCGGGGGGACGTGCGCTCGTCGTCCACGGGAGGCTCTGCGGGGGGCGAGGGCGCGCGGAGCGCGGAGGGCCGCGGAGGGCCCGAAGGGGCTCCGACCTCACCCGCGCAGGCCACCCACAGAAACCTGTCTCGGGGCTACGGCGGCTCCGTGTCGTGACCATCCGGCCTTGGCTTCTGACACCGCGTGGATCGTGCAGCCGGGAACCATCGGCGGCCTCTCGATCGCCAGCTCGCTGCATATTGGCAGGTTCTCGGGGCTGCCGGCGGCGCTCAGCCTGGAACGCCCGCGGTGGGATCGCCGCCGCGCTGGCACGACACGAGCCTGCCGTGCTTTGGGCCCTCCAATGTCGGCGGCGCGCGCAAGCGGGGGGGGGGGGAGGTGGGCAGAAGGCCGAGGGGCGGCCATTTGGCCCCCAGAGGGGCGAAGAACGCCCGAGCAACTCGACCCTCGAAAGTCCAGCGCGAGGGGCCTGGGCTGGGCCCCTTTCCTGCCCCCCGCTTGCGGCGTCAAAGTGGGCCACGACGCGCCCACGAGCGCGAAGGGGCCTGGGCTGGGTCCCTTTCCTAACCCCCGCTGCCGCGTCGAGGTGGGCCAGATGTGCCCTCGAGTGCGAGCGGGCCCGGGCTGGGCCCCTTTCCTTCCCCCGGCTGCCGCGTCGAGGTGGGCCACGATGCGCCAGGAGCCCGTCGCGATCCACTCGTCGCTGCTGCTGTCGAAGCCGTGGTAGGCGACCCGGACCTGCCCTGCGCGGGCCTCCTCGACGGTGCAGTCCTGCCGAGGGTCGGGGCACAACAACAAGTGCAACCTCGACGGCTGGGTTCAATCAGTCTGGGACCTTGTGGTGGCCCGACGCTCTGTGCAGTTTCCAGCGTCGAGTTTTTCGGGCCTTCTTGCGGTGGTCCAGGCCCTGCGGCCCTAAGAAGGCCCTCTTTGGCTGTCGCTTCCCCTTAGAGGGGCGGCCCCCACCCGGCAGCTGCGAGCCTGCCTTCGAGGACGGCCGCACCGAACCCCCTCCACAAACCTGGATCCTCGATCCCACTCGTTCTCCCTCCTCCTCGTTTCCTCCCTCCCGGCAAGCTCGATTACGAGGGCTAGGCTCCGTTTGCAATCCCCTCCCCCTCACCAAGAAGCGCAAATAGTCTATCGACAAGCTGAATCGGGGCCTTCGGCCCATGCGGCTCAAACGGAAAGCAGGCTCCTTTCAAACTTCGTGTGTGATCCTGCTCCCGTTCTCGCTCCTGTTCCTCCCTCCCTCCCCCCTCCAACCCTACCCCCCCCTCCTTCCCCCCTTGTCGAAGAGTTTCGGTGCCCGCGCAGAGTTTTCGAGCCTCGACTTTTCGCACAGACGCACGAGCTGTCTGTGCTGACTGCCTCTGCTAGCCGCAGCGTCACTCTCTCGCGACAGCCGGAGGAGGAGGAGGAGGAGGAGGAGGAGGAGGAGGAGGAGGAGGAGGAGGAGGAGGAGGAGGAGGAGGAGGAGGAGGAAGAAATCCAAAAAAATTCTCGCCGAAGAGCCCCCCCCCCCCCCCGAAGCGGCGGCGCCCGCGGAGGCCCGCGGAGGCCCCGCGCCCCGGAGGCGGCGGGAGGCGGGCCGCGGAGGCGCCGCGGCCCCCCCGCGCACGAGGTAGCGATGCTCTGCAGTACTAGGTCGGGCCTGTCCCCATACAGGGGGATTTTCGACAAACAATAAAAGATACCCCAACAACAATCCAAAAATGGTCTGGGGACTACTTTTGGAGTTTGGGGTATTTTGGTCGGGCCTGTCCCCATACAGGGGGATTTTCGACGAACAATAAATTATACCCGAAAAAAAAATCCCAAGAAAAGTCCAAACATGGTCTGGGGACTACTTCTGGAATATTTTTTTGACCATTTTGGGGTATTTGGGGGTGCTTTTTATTTTTCGTCGAACATCCCCCTGTATGGGGGACACGCCCGACATAACTGTAGTATCGCATCGGCGGCGAGCGAGGGGAGGGGGGGGGAGTGAGAAGGCCCTCTCAAAGGCGGCGGGGCTTCTTATAGGCCCTCGCGCCTTCTGGAGGACAAGTCTGTGTCTTCGGGGGAGGCCTTGGTTTGTCTCAGAGGGCCGGGGAACTTCTGAACCTTCTGATGAGGCCCGCCCTTTCTCACTCCCCCTACGCTCGCCACCGATCGCAATCTTCACCTCTTGTTGCCTTGCCCGCGCGCTTTGAGACACGCGCGTGTGAACACCGGATTTTTTTTTTTAACATAACAACGCAACGAGAGCCGTATCCAATTTTGAACCCAAGCGCCTGAGATACGTCAGTCCGCTACCCTTCGCGGGGGCCATGACCGATCCCAACGACTGCTCTACAATGGGCCGGCCGGGTAAACGTCACCACATTCCGGGGGGGGAGGAAGAAAGGAGAGAATCCACCGGCCCAGTGATGCGAACTCCCACTAACAGCGTCACAACCTGAATGGGCACGTGCTGCGTGCAAGCCCCGGTAGCCGAAGCGGCCGCAGACACAATCCACCACGACAGGCGACTGAAGGAAGGGAGCGCGGAGGAGGAAAAGGGGGAGAGAAAACGAACACGAGGCCGAGCCCAAGGGGGCGGCGCCTACTGAGGGGGGGCCACACGAAGATTTGTACACGAGCGAACCACAACGAAGTGCAACAACATCCGAACATGCAGAGGGGAGGGGAGGACGAGTGGGAAAGAGCGAGCATGAGCAGCCACACCTTCTGTCAATGGGGGCCCCGTGCCATTGGATGTCATCGTGCATGTATGCGCGATAGGCGCCTGCGATGTCTGCGACCTCCAGGTGCCCATGCCGACGCGCCTTGTGCACCCGGTAATGGCCGTAAATATGTAGGGCCCACTGGACAATGGCACCTGAGTCTAGCCTCAGCTCCCATATTCAGGAACCAGTCCAAGGCGAGCGCCGCTGGGGGAAAAGCGGCGCCAGGGTGGGCGCGCACGACCGGGGGGCAAAAGGCTAGGTGGCGAAGGCTGTCCTGACCTGCGCGGCAGCCAAAGCGGCTGGGGCCATCGCCGCCAAATCGCGCACTCGCGCGCCAGCCGTGGCGCTACAGGCTCAGAACAGCGGCCCGGGCGCGCGACCAACACTTCTCTCCCACGATACGCACCGTTCGACGAGCGGGGCAGGACGCTGGCGAGGAAACAGCTGTACAGGCCATCGCGCCAGGCTGGGCGCCTTCGAAGGGAGCACACTTGCCCCTGCCGTGCCGATGCGATGCGTGCAAGACGAAGCTGGGCCACGGGGTGCTTCAGCCATCTCGCCCTCCAGCGCCAACGAGGGTGCGACGCCGCCCTGTCCCGCATTGCGCGCACCTCAGACGCAGCAGCGGCAATGGCTGGAATAATGGGCTAGTTGGCCCATGTGTGCAGCCATCTGGTACGTTCAAGAAAGGCTTCATCGGAATGGTTCGCGTGGGTGTGCAGGTTGGTGCTCCGCGCTCCGCTCCCTGATCTGCAACTTGCCGCCTGCCTTCCAACTGGTTATCCAGGCTTTCGCCGCAACCGTTGTCAAGGACAGGTCGGGAGCTCGAACAAAAACCCGATGCCCTTGATGTCCTTGAGCACGTCCATGGGCGCCCAATCCCGCGGCCCTGGGAACAATTTCCGGTAGGCGCGGACTTCGCAATCCAGGATGTCGCCGGGCGGGGGCTCCAACTGACCAGCGAAGAGCATGACCGATGCGACGTAAGTCTTGTACGCCTGCGCCGTACATATGCAGCAAGCCAGCACCAACGCGACCCCACTGGGCAACGCGAGCCAAAAACTTGGCCGTGGGCTCGTCTCAGGACCGCGCCCCCTTCCCGGGCCCGAGGTAGATTCCAAGGTACTTGGCCGCGTCCGATATCAGCATGTTGGCCCAACCTGGGGCTGTAGAGGACAAGAGGGCTCGCACCCGCTCCTGGTCGAGCGGGTCTGTTGGGACGACCACGGTCTTGGACACGTTCAGGACGAGCCCCGACAGGAGCGCGAACTCGTCGAACTCGAGCTGCAGTTTTCCCAACTCCAGCCCAGCCCGCGCAAGCACCATGGCAAGGTCGTCGGCGAGCGCCCTCTGAACAGAGCGCGGAAAGTCCCTGGCCAGCCTTCGCAAGAGGAGGTCGGATCAGGCCGCGAAAAGCAGGGGGGAGAGAAGGCACCCCTGCCTGATGCCACGCGTCAGGGGGCAGCCGGGGAAACGGGCGCCACCACTGCAGATCTCGCGCGTTTCTTCTGGCAGAGGCTCGAGATGAAAGAAAGGAGCCAATCTGGCCAACCCAGGCTGCGGAAGAATTCCAGCAAGACCTGTTGCTCCACGGACGGGAAAGCCGCCGCGAAGTCGAAAAAGAGGGCCCCCCCCCTCCGACTTCAGGCCCGTCGTGAACACCGCACGCTTTATTGGGCCTGACCTGGAGTTCGAAGCGCGTCGCCATCAAAACAGTGGTTGCGGCTGGGAATTCGCCGAGGAAAGGGGAGGCTTCGCAGAAGGCTTCATAGCAAGCAGGAGGGGCTCCCCCCTTCTCGCCACCCCGTTCTGCGCGCTGCTCAAGATCGGGGTGGACGAAGGGGGGCTGGCAAAGGGAGGGGGGGGAACGCATCAGCTGCAAGCAGCAGGTTCCCCCCGCGCTTATCAATCGCCAGGAGCGGCCATGTACGTGCCCAGGGAAGTGCGCAGTAGCGGAGCCAGAAGCCAGCTGCACGCTACAATTCTCGTAGCGTAGACCCCTCCATTACAACGATCAACGGCCTTTATCGTTGTCGTCGTTGCTATCATGGTCATCGTATTGATCGTTGTCGTTGCGATCTTTGTTATCGGTGTCCCTCTTGTCGTCATTTCTGGTAATTTGGCGCCGATTGCCCAGGCGAATTTCTTGACCTGTCGTGGTGTCGTGACTTGCAACGCCTTCTCCGACGTCTCGTACTCTCTTTTTTCGAGGCTGACGTCTTCCATCGTTTTCGGCATCCGGGGGCTCATGTCGCACGCAGGGACCCCCAAATCAGGCATGGCCAATGTGGGTCACCACCAGGGCCGCCTCCTCCTGAGAGGATCGAGGATCCAAGAGGAGGATCGACAAATTGTGCTTTTTGGTTGCTTTGGGTGTTTCTGGCGGGGGAGTTCTCTTTCCCCGCCTCCTCGGGAGGAGGTTGCGACCTGCCCTGCCTCTTCAGGGAGGTTGCGACCTGCCCCCCCTCCTCCCCAGGAAGTGGCGACCCCCTAGTGATAACCCCCTTTGGCACCGTGTATCAAAAAAACTCAATAGAGGCCTCCAAGACGGCCCAAGAGGCCTCCAAGAGGTCCTCCAGGAAGGCCCGAAGAGGCCAACATCATTGATTGTCCAAAGGTTTTTGAAGGATTTTGGCATTTGAGCCTTTTCGGCTTTCCGACAACCCAAGAGGCCCAAGAGGCCCCCAAGATCGCCCAAGAGGCCCCCAAGAGGGCCCCATGACGGCCCAAGTGGCCTCCAAGACGGCCCCAAGAGGGCCCCAAGACGGCCCAAGAGGCCTCCAACACGCCCAAGATGGCCTCCAAGACGGCCCTGAAGCGCCCCAAGAAGGCCCCCAGTCGGCCCAGAAAGGCTCCCAAGACGGCTCCCGACGGCGTCAGAGGTGCCAGGAGCCCACCAAGATGGCCGAAGTTGGCTCGAAGCTGGCCCAAGACTGCCCAAGAGGCCCCCAACAGGGCCTCCAGGAAGGCCCGAAAAGGCAACACATCTTGGTTTTCCTAATATTTTTGGCGGATTTTCGCATTTGCTTCTTTTCGGCCTTCCGACGGCCCGGGACGGCCCAAGAACCCCCAACAATCGCCGAAAGATCGCCCACAAGGCCTCCAAGATGGCCCCAGAACGGCCCAAGAGGACCCCAAGACGGCCCCAAGAGGCCCCCAAGACGGCACAGGAGGCCTTTAAGACGCCCAAGATGGCCTCCAAGACGGCCCTGGAGCATTCCAAGAGGGCCCCAAGTCGGCCCAGAAAGGCCCCCCAAACGGCTTCCGACGGACCAGGAGCCCACCAAGACGGCCGAACAT